TTATTTTATGTATTTTGATTTTAATATAAATGGACTATTGCAATAATATAAATTCCACGTGCACAGTGCACTGCACACACGCATGGAATATAGAGGATAATAATATACGAGACATAAGAATATGATAAAAATTGCGAATTCCGCCCGCGAAAACCAAGGTCGTGTAGCCACGGATAGATATTATACATATTTAATAATCCCTCTGTAAACCTCAGCGTGCACGGCGGCAAAATAATATAATAATTTATAGATACACAATATCATGACGAACCTTTGAACGAAGTTCGTTACCGATACATACAATAATATAATATATTATAAGTACGGGAGAATCACTATACAGCTATTTCTAGGTTATATATAAATATATATATATTTTATCGTAGGCGTAATGTACATTTGTTTTTTCTTATTTTATTCGTTATCCGGTATATTGATTTGACATAAATAAATTTACGATTCAATATACTTATTGTATTTTATATAGGTTACACCCGTGTGTTTCTGTATACGTCTAATGTCTATATTGCATATTATAATAATATGTAGTATATATAGTATATTATATTACCCATATTAGATATACTTATAGATTTACCACCACTGCAGTGGTTATATTATTGTATTTTAATTCGATACCGGTGCCCGAGCGTTTTTATTTTTATGTAGGTACAATGAAAATTTTCCAATTGGAAAAAAATAACTGTTACACAATCTACTAAACGAAAGGACATTAACGCAATTTGTCATTTTATTCGTGATCCTTTTATATTGTTGCAGGACACAAACGTTAAACTCTTGTTACATCGTTTATAAGATGCGTATAATACAATAAATATATCGATCAAACTTAATGGAATTTTCAAATTATTTACAGGATTAATAATAAAAATTAAAAAAAGACCCTAAACCGTAGTTGTCAAGATGCCAATGTTCGGAACATATATTTTCCACTGCTGCTTTATACATATATTATACAGTATTATCGAATAATAAAATTGCCAAATTCTCGCACTTGGCGTCAGTCGAAATGATTGAATTCTCAATAATTGCACCGTCGATTGAGTGAGTTGTGTTTTTCGATACATGACGTTCGATGATGATAATAATGATATATAAGTAATATGTTGTGAATTATTATATAATGACGTGGTGCTGCGTATAATATCTGACGGTTTACGACTTGTGGCAATTTTGTTGTTTTAATTGAATTCTAAAATGTTTTTTATAAATATATATGTATAAATATGTTTATTATTTTTATTGGTTCCCGGGGAATAAAAAATGTATAATATTATAATGTCTCGAGCACGTATAATAGAACCCGATAAAATTGATTCCGGGTAGTAAAAACGTACAAGAGTTTTATAGTTTTTGAATAATATACTATTACTATAAATTATAATGTGTAGTTAATTACTCGGTCAAAAAGTAATAAGGCCCATTATATTATATTATCGTGATGTGTGCAACGGTGGCGGTGGCGGGTCGCGCGGTGCACACTTTTATTGGGCAATTAATAGATTGGGTGACAAATACTGAAATACAAATACAAATAAAAATAATATGATATGCGTAATATATTATCTGGTCGTGGTATCCTATACGTATTATACGAGACACGAAAAATTCCGGAGAGTAGCAAAGAAAATACTATGTTTTTTTAGTTTATGATGATGGAATATATTTGTATTTAGTATTTTATGGGAGAAAAAACAAAAACCATCATTAATTATTTTTGTTAATTTTTACATGTCGAGGAAATTTATATACACATTATTGTGATTAGAATATTATATTAAAATATAACACTATAATAATCGCCTGTAATAGGTTTCATCGAAAGTCAAGACGTATACCTTTATTCCAATAATAACAATTAAAATATTATAATATACCGTGTGCCTGTGTAGTGTGTGCACATTATAAAATGAGTAATTATAACGTATATCCGTTTAATATAGGTAAGCAACGTTTACGCGATGAAAAACATAAGTAATTAGCTTAAAACAAGAAGTGAGCACGGTTCGCGCCTTTAATGTTTAAGAAACCTTGACAGAGCGTCGAGTAGGTACACACAAACACGCACGCGGAGAAAACAAACAGTAGCGGACACTCCTATATCCGGCGTGGTGTATCCTTTACACATTATACATTTATACGTATACGTATGTATGTGGATACCCTTTCACGTGTGCGCTAGTGTATGTAGACGAAAATATTGGTAAACAAGAAAAATAGAAAGAATGAAAAAACGCACGTGAAGACAAACGTATTCGATTTTATTTTTGAGTATGTGGTAAAAAAATGTAAGAAGCGAACACTGGAACACGACGCTCTACTTTTTTTTTACTCACTGAGCTGCACCTTTTTCTCGATGACTATAAGTATTATTATAATTTTACAGATAGAGATAAATAAAAATAAAAAGAAACATGTGACCTGCACGGCCTGAGGCAAAAAGACATCAAACATTTGCCTGTATAATAATTATTTATGTTCGGGCCTATTTGACGATTTTTTTATTTCAAGTTTTGGGTTCGCCTTCCGGTGAAAATATCATTGTAGGGTAAACGATTATATTATAATGTGTATATGTAGGTATTTATTTTATATTTTAAATTATTATAAGATATAAATATACAATATGTCCGAAGGGTTTCTTCTCTTATTCGAAAAACTTATCAGCCGGCAGTGGGTATAATGGGTATATATTATTTTATATTACACGTATAAACGGGTGTCTGCGTCGCCGAGTGTATTTTGGACGGCAAGTCAAAAGCATATAATACAAAATATAATAATACGAATACGTGAGGTATAAAAGAAGTGCGTTAAGGCTGTAAAACTGATTTTTATTAGACGGATCTCGACGATAATGCGCAGCTCAAAAACGAGAGTATAAAATTTGTCATTTTTAATGACCACATGTAAATCAACTATATATAATACATTATATGTTTTTTTTATCATTATAAATATTTGAATAATAAAGATTGAGATGAGTTTTATTTAAAATAATAACGCTCTGCCAATGTTATTTAATATAAAAATTCTAAGACAGTATAAAATGTAAAATGAATGGAATTTTGTAATAATAATATACATATCAAGTCTTTGCGATCGTTCGCAGGTATCCTACATGTAGTATGTCTCTGCGGATTCGCCACAAAAAATTACATACTTAGCACAGGTAGCATGAATGTTTACTTTAAATGGCTTCCTGTGTACAGGTGAGACGGACTTCTTTCCGGAAACCAAAAAAAAAAAATGTTGAAATTCTACACGAATTAAATGCATTTGTAAGCACTATTACGAAATTGAAAGAAAAAAAAAACATTGTCGGCTAACATTTCCGAGGTGCCGTGTTCTATTTCCGATGTCGCCAAAATAAGAAAAATTTATTATTAAAATGTATTATTGCTTAAAACGTATATTATTTATTAGCACAATATACTCGGAATTATTAACATACAGAATATTCAACAATGTGTTTTTTCGTTTCAAATGCTTGTATATAAGATAATTAATTGTATAAAAAAGATTAATAAATATTTAGTGTACTGCAGATTGGTTTAAATTTAAATGGACATAAAATAGTTGATGAGTATCTTCTCATTTGTAGTGCATTGAACTTGAACTTGTTTATATGGACTTTATAGAAGAGCTTATTGTAAGATAACTGTAATAACATATCAGAAAATGAGACGAAATCTCATGATTTTGATTGGTTTATGATATGAATATTAAATTTCTAGGGTGATAAAATAATATAAGTAGGTACCTATGTATAGTAATTGAAAATTCATGTTTATCATGCAGTATTGAGTATTGTAGGCATAATATCCTAATAATATCCTACATAATATGTGTATTATATAGATTATAGAAAAAACACCTAATTGATAAAAACAAAAAATAATAATATAATATCAGGCGTTTTAATCGATACAAGTAAGCTTTTTACTTAGTTACATGGAAAATCATATCAAACAGGGAGGGAAGGGGAAAGAATTAAAAAATTAAAATAAAAAAAAAATTAGATAACGAGGTGTAATAATTAGTTTAGGTCAACTAGTCTTATTTTTTTCATCGTTCTTTTTTACAGGCTTACGTGAATTTATCATAATTTTTTTATGGATGCCACTTCACGACCAGATAAGACTGAATTTCACGAAATTGAACGAATTTTCTTGTTGTGCAAATAATTATATAGGCAGCACTTAATAATAATTATGTTCAGATGGCAAATAATAATAATTGTTTTCAATTAATAGAATACTGCGATTGCCAAAATAATTGCATCGATAATTTCAATCTATTATTATTTTCTATATTTTATTATTTTTTTGTTTTCTAACATTTCAAGCACCATAAAGACTGACGTAAATGTTCGCACATAGCTCGACATTGTATACACACGTATCAAGAAATGTACTATATTTTGTTTTTTGTAAGTAAAAATAAGTATAGGTGTACCGTTTAATTAATTAATTAGCTGGTATGCGAGTGTATATTTTTACGCGTGTTTTACATATTAATTGTTGGTAATTAATATAATTGCGAAATATAAATGATTACGAGTTTCGTAAACGTAAACGGTTTTTACTCTATATAATACTATCAAAGCTTTATATAAAAATAAATGGCAAATGCGAAAGAAATATAAAATCTAGAAATTACAATACTTCGATATTGACGAAAACGCATAAATACTTTTTAAATTTGTCCAAAAGCAAATCAATGACGACAAAATATTATGTTCGATAACCGTCAAGTGGATAATAATTGACAATTTTGCACAGGTCTCGACTAAGATCTAGGACGAAGGAAAACATTAAAAGTTGTAATACTTTATGTTGGCATTATAATTCAGAAAAAATGCATACGCGTGTGGAGATAGCATAAAAAAAATTGGTTGTTTTACGTTTTTCGAGTGAAAAAATTAAATTAACATTAATTTGTACAAAATTATATTATGACATTGATAATTTACTTACAGTAACAGCCGATCGTGGTGTACAATCACTCTCACGTCCTGCTTCCACGACACTTGCACAAACAGTGAGAATTTTAACAGTGAAATTTTTGTACGGTTTTACCGCAAAAAAACAACAAAAAAATTTAAATAAATAACAACAAATAAATATTACTAAAAAAAACCGTTCGTAAATGTCAAAATTAATATATACAGGTGCGTATATACCGGCAATACGACCGGCGTTTTAACGAGCGCGTCACTCACTCACTCACTCGGAAAACATAAAAAAAAAAATTGATGTAAGTATACAAAACTAAGAATCGGCGAAAATCCGCAAAAATCGCAAAACGGTCGACGTGGGGCGATCGGCACTCACGGTACGCGGCGTTGGCATGTCGCGGGTGCGTGTTCGGCGTTGCGGATAAAAGCACTGTGGTATATACTATTATTATTATACTTGAGCAAATGACACGATAAAAATAAAAAAATCAAACAGACAAAAATCGCGTTAATCGTTATGGCGGCGTGTAGAAAAATTCGAGTAAAATCTCTCTGGTCCGGCGAGAAAATAATAATAAAAAAAAATTTCTCTCCCCCGCGTGATGCGTAGTCGGTCCGGCGGTGGGCAGAGGGGTCGGTCGGTCCGCGTGTGCTTGCCGGGCGCGCGCGCGTGCAGTGCTGTACGGACGACGGACGACAGCGGACAACCACGGCGACGGCGATTGCGACTGCGACGGCGGCGGCGGTGGCGGTGGCGGCGGAGCGACGAGTGTATATCCCGCGTGCGTGCTGCTGCGGCGTAATTTTTTTTCCTCCTTTTTATTATTTTTATTATTATTATTTTCGCGGCGCGTGTGTGTCGTACCGCGTATAGTGTAATAGTCGTCGTCGTCGTAGTCGTCGGGTGCCGGTGCCGGTGCGGTGGCCAGGTGACACTGAAACGTAAAATTCGAAAAGCAGGAAACCCTGCGTATCCCCACCGCGGACGCGGCGACGGCGCCCGAGCGGCCGACCCGGCCCCCGGCACGCCGCCGCAACCTTTCGGCCGTGTCTGGGCGCGGCCCGCCGCGCGGGCGGGGGGAACGGATTTTCGAGTCCAATGGCCACGTCTCACGCGTTTCCCTCCAAAAAAAAAAATTTTAACACTAAAATAAAATAAAACAGAATTATATTATTATAACGTTTTTGCTCTATTGTGTATATAGGTAAGGTACCTTCATATATTACAATATAATGTGCTTATATATACTTGTATATGGCCATGTAGGTACCAGTACCACCGTGCCGTTTGGATATTCGTTCATTATTTCGGTATTTATACATGTATATTGTTATTATTATTGCGTCGGATCGTCAAGGAGTAAACCGCGACTTAACCTGCGATCTCAACCACGTTTACCTGTTATAGGCGTGTATATTGAAATAGATTTCGCTTGCGAAAGTGGCGTGAATTTTTTCGACTTCGCTGTTCAAAATATGCTGTACCTACCTATAACCTGTGTTGTTTAGGTATTTTATAATAATCCTACGGTTGAGTTAATAATTTCAATTAAAAAAATGTATATTCTACACGTACCTATTATATATTATTATTATTATTATTATGTGTATTTCGTATAAAACGCGTTTATTATAATATATTTTATAGGCGCCTCGCATAGTCGGATTAAAAACAAATTACGATTTTTTTTTTTAGGTCGTATAGGTATAAGCTGCGTTAACATTTTTTCAACACTATAATATTATTACTATTATTATTATGCTGTATATATTGACGGAATTTTGAGAAAAATCACACGCGCACAAAAACGTTTATTATACTATTATAATAATATACGTACTTCGGTAATGTTATTCGAATTAACCGTAATCGGTCGATCGTTTTTCAAACTCAGATTTCGTATCTCAGCGTTAGTTCTGCATCGCGTCGACATTTATCATACTCCCGGAAAAAAAGAAACGTTATCCTGCTCAGTGTATGATTGAAGCGATAAATTCTGAGAAGCGTATTTTATCTTATTTACGATTAAGTTAATAATTATTCTCCCAATATAATAATTTTGAATTCATGATGTGGTGTATTAACTAGTAACATTTTTAAAAATCGGATAATAATGCTCGTATATAATCCGGAATTCTTATTAATATTAAAATTTAAATGAGAAATTTGAAACTGTAGATATGTATTAATAATGTTGAAATTCTAGGTGAAATTAATACACAGGCGTAAAGAAGAATTTCAGGTTTTTTTTAATAATTTGTGTATCCATATCAAGACCGATTTAAAAAATGTAATTAGCCTTATTAGATAGGTTATAATAATATAAGGTAAATAATATAATATTATTTTAAAATATATTCAAAATATAATAATGTGTCAATATAACGTATAGAATAGTTAATGAAATAATTTAATACATTTAAACACATTTCCCGCCTACTTACCTATATTAAGTAAAGCTATATTTTTATAGTATAAAAAAGTAAAACATCATATTATAATTTTGAATTATGCAAATTATTTTTCGATGATAAATATTTTGTAAAATAATTTAATGCTAGTAAAAATAAACAATACAATTTGACATTTTGTTTTTTTAATATTCTATAGTGAAGCTAGTTTATTTATTATTGTTTTTAAAAAAAAAAACTTGCTTCAAAGTTACGTTGTACCTACTTTATGTGATTTAACTTTTCATATTTTTAAAACTTCTCAGTTGAATTTTTCAGACATGAAACACTACTTAAAAGCTTTATAAAGTCATGAGCTTTTGAGAATCAACTATTGTAGAAAAATAAGTGTACCACTGTACCTAATGATTCTATAAATATAAATAATAGATTTTTTATATTTTGGAACTAAATAAAAAACAGTGCTGCCGTGTACGTACCTACTATATAGAATCAAAACAGGCATTTGAAATATTTTTTCTGTCTAAATGTCCATCAAATATTTAAATGAATAAATTAAAAAATTAAATTGTAATTCATATTTTCTTTGATGTAAAGTCTTTAAATATTTCAGTGAGTTTTTTTTTAAATTTTTATAGTTTAAAGACTATTAACATACTTAAATGTTGTGCCTGTACGCATAACTAAATTTGGTCTATAATACAGTATGCAGTGTATTAAAGTTAATATTAATTATATTTGTTTCATAATAAAACGTATCAATGTGATATGAAAATAATAATCTATTAAACTACACATTTATTTGTTTTAATGATAAACATTTTGCTAATGAATTATTTTTTTTTATTTCTTAGAAATAAACTGTTATACCTTCAACATGAAAATTAAATAATTCAATTTTAAATAACTATCAACACACTTGAATAATTTATAGGTATAAGTTTTAAGAAAAGTACCGTTTTTTTTTAGATATGTATATAGATAGACAATAGTACACATTCTATTTCATTAACTGTAAAATATTAAAATATATTTAGAAATGTAAGTTCTATTGAATATACTTATGATAGTTTTTAAAGTTAAATAGGTAAGAATCTTTTGTTTACGTAATTTTCTTAATTAGGTTTTTGGAAACAATATTTTTAACTAGGTATTTTTTCATTTTTGAAAGACAGTTTACGTATATTTTTTATTTATATATTAAATCAAAATTTCATTATGGAATTTAAATTTAAAACGAATTTTGATACTGTCTAATGTCAATAGTTATGAGTATTTAAATTTTAGGTGAGTGGAATATATTTTGTGTAAGTCACCTAATCCAATCTAATTGTCAAAACTTAAAATAATAATATGTCTGCCTAACTACTTACAAAGGTTGTAAGTCTTAACTTATTCACAAATTTATTTACTACTTGAACAATATTTTGTGTAATTATATATAATTTCAAAAATTTTGTTTAGTAATAAATTCAAATTATGTAAAAAAATGTTTATAAAAACCTTTATACTTAACGAGATGATGAGTGGTAATTCTTAAAAAGAATCATACTGTATAATATATTATACATACATGATAATTAATTTCTATAATTTATTGAAGATATTAAGTATATCAATATGTAGGTACCTTATAATATTATAATAATTATTATAATTATGCAATTATATTATCTAAAAATAAAAGAAAACATTTTTATGATATGACCAATCGATTTTATTACAAACTAAAACATAATTAATTTGACAACTAGGAAACTATTTAAGATAATAGTTCGATTTAAATGTTAAAAATATAACATTTAATAAAATTCTTATTGTATATTTTATTTTAGGTACAGCTTGAAAAAGTTTTATAATATTTGTAATGCGCTATAGAAAATAGTAACAATAATAATATTATAAACTAAACATTTTTTTTAAACGAATTCTATATTTCTATTTTTAATTTTAGTGCATGAATATAATATTACTTTTATTAAGATTTTGCGTTGAAAAGATTCAACGGATTATTTATATCTGCGTATAAAACCATCAGCAGCTGTGGGAAAGGGGTAGAAATCACCAGTCGTTGGATTTGTTTTGCTTATAAATAATGTGTAAAGGAGTTTACGAAATTTAACGGTCTCTTTGTGTAGTTATATACATCTCATATGTATACCTATATATACCTATCATCGGTTACGTGAAATGGGGCGAAAACGGTACGACGAGGGTCAAGTGGTTCAATAATAATAATAAAAAAATCTGGGTTAGAAATGAGTGAATTTTTTTTTGTCTCGCGAATATTATTATGAGCGAAAAAAACTAGTTTGGAGTGGCTAATTTTTTCTTGTCGGGGAGCGGAGCCCCCTAGCCCCTCCTTTCGCATACGCCCATGAATATTATTATAATGGGATTTCTATTGTCATTCAGAGTGACTATGATGGTGGGCAACAATAAAAATATCAAATACATACATATTATAGGTATATATTATTATCTAGAACTAAAACGTGTCTTAGAAAAATCACACCGCTGCCACAGCAGTAATGACAATAATACCACCAACTCATTGCATATAATATATTAATGTACATTTAACGCGTACATCATGATTTCAAGACGAATTAAATTAGTTTGCTTTTTGTAAATCGAAATTCGCTCGCTTTAAATATTATTGATTGGGACGCAACAATTATTATTAATTAACCTGGGACTTGCCAAAATTATTTATGATCACCAAAAACATGGTTTAAATAACCTATTTTTTGACTTATTATTTATATGCATTATGCATATTAGAAAAAAAATATTTATAGGGAACGCGAAAATATTGCATAATTTGAGGGGTCGTCCGTTTAAAAATGTTGAGCATCACTGTGATATAGTCATAGTCAGTACACGTAGCACGTGTGTTGCGCAACGCTGTTTTCATTTCGTGGTTACAAAATACGTACAATATTATGAGCAAATAATAACATATACATAAATAATTTAGTTTGTTTCCGGAAAGACGCAGAAGAAAACTTATAACGAAATTACAATAGTGCACCACGAATCTGCAAGAGTAAAACTTTTTTTTTGTATTTCGTCGAGTACGGTCTTTATACAGGTACCTCGAGATTTTCGGCATAAGATATAAAATAATTATTATTCGTCTTTCGATGACTCTGCGAGGTCACAGAGTTGACAAAGTCACGCGTTACTGCGTATTCGATTATTGTTAAATATTTTACTACGGTGTTATTCTACCCGTGTAGACCGAGATGTTCCCAATAATGTACTTAACGCCCGTTTTTCATTAAGGAAATTAATTACGAAAGGGTTAAACAAGTTTAAAAAAAAATACACACGCGCTGTAATCAATGTCTTTTAGAACTCACAACCAAATACAATATGGTCTAACGTGTTCTTGGCAGTGGTCGACGGGAGGTAGAAACATATAGAAAGGATAATTGATTGATATTGGGCGTAATCGATGGTATCTTACATATGATATTCTCTTTTTCTTTTCTTTTCTTATACATATTATATACGCGCATACACTATATATT